TAAAAATGTAATTAAGGTGTAGGTAACAATAATATTTTGAGTTTACCATGTTTTCTACGGGTTTCATTATAAAGTATACCCTGACTGTTGGTATTCCGAATAAATAATAAAATATGAAAAAAAAAAAACACAAATTAATTTTAAACTATAAAACGTGATTGTAGTGGAATAGTGAAGGATGTAGATGAAAATTAAAATTAATCAATAAGAAACCAAATGTGATTAATTTATCAATTAGTAATTAGATTATTAGAATATATTTTGTGTTTCATCGGTCTTGAAATCAACTATAGTTCCTATCTAAAGAATAACTTAAAATATATTTATATAAACATACATGTGCGTGTATGGTACTTATGTTCTATGTATTATTCTAATAATTATAAATAGTAATTTTCTGTATGTTTAAAACAATTACAATAATTACTTAATTGTTTTTTTTTTATAAAATTAATTTAAAATAAGTAAGCTTACACAAGTATAAAACACCAAAAGTAAATATTATTTAGATTTAAACTTTTTAAAATTTTTAATTAGCATTAAAACTTCAGGTTTTGTTGGTATAAAATATTTATCTTGGTTATAACTTTATGTTTCAAAGTTTTGGTGAATGTTATAAATTCAGTAGAACTTCCAATAACTAAATAGCATGATCTACGTTATACACTTGTGATCATGTTTTGATTTATATATTATTATCCGTGTATCAACTTGATGCTATATTTAAATTTAACTAAGATTAAGTTACTCGTAATTCCTTGAATTTGCAATGATTCTAAAAGCTAAAAGTTCAAAATTGTCGGATCAAAACTTTGGCTCTTTACATTCAAAAACAATGTTTCATTAAAAGTTTCAACTTTAAACTTGCGTTTATTGGTAATAAGCAACTAATTACCTACTTATAAAACATTTTTCGAATTTCAATTTGGTTACTCATCTGTTATATATGCTAATAGATTAGTAAATAATTTTATTAGAACTTGAAAAAAATATATTTACTTCTGGTATGACGCATTGATATTATGAATTATTGCATTTGATTTTGCTGCCGGTCAAATTTTATTCCTATCATTTAGGAAATATGACGATGACCAATTACGTTATTATTTTATTTCGTACCGTCCTCGGAGTCGTCATCGTATTTTACGAGTAGGATACCGAATGAGCAGTTATTGTAATTTATATAATTTTATGTAAGCTACTGATCTTTTTTCCCATTGCTCGTAATTTACATACATAAATAGGTATAATTATTATTTGACAACTAGGTCGTTTGGTTTGTAACGCTCAAGGCGTTCAACATTGGCTAGTTTGTACAAAAATCGTAGAGCTTCGGCGTTCACATGCTAAAGCAAAGTCCCTTTTCGTGGTGAGTTGTACCGTACATCACATTTCAACTTGTCCTACTTCAGTTGTCGGTCCGATCGCATCCATTTGTTTCGCTGACAACCATGTACAACGTCATACTGGTTACGGACTGTCGGACGCGTTGAGCTTTCATAAGGATCTTTGATTATTTAGCGCGCAGCGTCCCCGTGTTAGACGTGTGCCGTTTTTTTGCACGTGTTACGTACTATTAAATTATATTATTATGGAACGCCGTACGATAAGCTGTACTGCATATAGGTACTACTGAGAGACTACATAATGTTAAGCCAATGTATTTACAGTCTCGTTGAGTTTACGGTCTGATGTTCGTTCCCTGTTTAATGCGTCCGTGGCTAATTTTCCGTTGCGTCAATTTTAGCGTATGCTCCAGCTGTACATATTGTATTAAATTGAAGATAACACTATCACTCGATCAATAATTGGAACAGAAAAATAATCTCCCAATCAATGTGAAAATTTAATATTTTCAGAAATCGTCAAAAAAATCTATAGTCACTTGAAATTTATTCAAACATATTTTAATTTGCTACTAAGGTATTAGCTATTGTACATTATGATTAACAAGTCGTTTAATGACGTTAACGTTTCGTCGAAATATATTTTTAGTTCCGAGTCGGTTTAAATGACGTAGCGTATCCTATATCTTGGCCTATTTAAGCGAAAAGAAAAATGCGTGTTTATAATCCTTTGTATAATATTTTATAAAGCAGATCTTGAAGTTCGAATGCGTAATTTAGCAGTGTATTAAACTCACAAACACGATATTCATGAACGGCTTGCCCTCATCAACTTCTTGAAAAATATTAAAAGAGCAAACGTTATTTTGATAAGTACCTACTTTTATACTCGTGAGTTATGGAAAAAAATCTATTGACGTTATATCCACCATAGGAGTTTCATCTAACTTCAAAGCCAACAGTTTATTATTATTATTATTATTATTATTTTGTTGATATTAAACCTTAAAACAATTCCTATGCGAATCGATGGCAAAAAAATAGCAATGGAAATGTGTGCTTTGAATCCCTCAATTATGCTCTCGATTGTGATGTTTTGATTGAGTGTTAATCGCATCACTTGATGCTTGATATTGGTGGCCGAGGTAGATCATTAACATTATAAACTTTATACTAGTTACTTTGAAATATATATTTCTCGTATTATTTGAATTGACTTTAAAACAAACAAGGTCTCCCGGGGCTAAGCTTATTTTAAATTGTTTTCAAAATTAAATGGGTCTTTTAATTATGCACCTGTTAAACTCACAGCTTTTGAGCTGCGTTAAATTACTTAAAACATTGGAAGTATAATTTCGTTATCTTTTTTGTTAAATGGCAAATCATATATACATCGTTAATACAAAAAATAATACATAAAATAGTAATAATAAAAAACCAAGCTTAAAAAGTATATATGCTTATTTAAAAAAACAGTGGTGGCGGGGATCAAGAAAAAAGGCCCAGGTGGCAATTAGTACAGAGGGCTTACGTCTCTAAAATAATAACGGTACCCCGAGTATGGTATTTGTATTCTGTGCTCTTTACTTTATGAATAATTTTTCTCTTCTTTTTTGTATGGTTACAAAATGAATATTTTTTCGTGATATTTTGACTAAGATTTAAAATAATAAACCAAAAATATCTCAACAACATTGCTATGCACTAAATGCTCATATAAATGTCTTAAGTAATATCGTTTTGGCACCATTTCGCACCATAATGGTGCCAATAAAGTAAGTAAAAATAGTGTGACATCGTCTTAAGGTAGGATTTAAGTAATATTTGTACTTATATTTGAGCTTAAGCGACTTTTTTCAACTATTCTAAGTTTAAATTGTCAGTTTTGGAATTAAAAACGATCCCTATGACATCATATGTGATTTTAATATAAACATATTTGCATGACACAATTGGTTTATTAAGTAGATTACATTGATGTGACATTACCTAAAGAAAAGAGACAGCATTTATATCATATATTATAATGATAACTAATACGAATCGTTTTCAAAATTCAAAAATAATAAATAAATATTTCCAATAACACTACGAATGACTCGAACCCTGTAGTGTCTTAATGTACCTATCAACTTATCAACTCGAAGTACCTATATAATATCGATTTAACAGTAAATTCAATCAATAATCAAAATAAACACTTTGATATTTATAATTTGGGTTCAATGTTTGTATGTTTAAAATATTGCTTAACAAAATGAAAAAAATCTTGTATCAGAATATTTAGGAAAACTGATTAGTTTATGTGCATTTTTATCTTAAATAAGTTATTGATTATCTAATAATCAGTACTGCTATATAATGACTCAATAATTTTCATTTTTATATTATTATTGTCGTATGGAAAAAAACATTTTTAATCAAATTTACGTTGACGTATGACCGAGTGAGTTGAATTGCTATTAAGATGTTATAATTAAATGCACAAGTACTCACTGTTCAGAAAATAAATTCTGAATTTTACTGTACTTTAGTACTGTTCTATTTTACAGTAAAAATGAATTGTATTATTCGGTGTTAAGATTATAAAAAAAAAAGTATTGGATAAATCAAAACGTGCGAAGGTGTCTTTGTATATTTGTGTAAATAAGGATTCATTTAGATGAAAAAAAGACATTGTTTGATTTTTTCGTTTTTAATTTCATTTTTTATGTTCGTGTTAATTTTTAAATTATTTTTTATAAACACTTAAGTTTTAATTGTTTAGGTCTAAATATTTATATGGCGTACGAATTAAATTTAAAATAAACGTTAGTAGATTATTTATCTTATTTTAACCTCCACAATGTGGATAATTTAAAAAAAAAATATTGCAACAAGTATTCTATACTACAAAAGTAGTTGATATATGATTGCATTAAAAGTCCTTAAACACGATATTGGTGGATATGTTTTTGTTAACAAATATTATGCTTGCTAAGTAAAATTTGAATTGTATTTTTTTTTGATATTGTAAAGTACATAGTGTTTGGAATTAAATTTTATTCCAAGTGTTAAAAGTATCTATACATTTTGTCTGGACATTTAAAAAATTGTTTTTATGTATTGGCCAAAACGCATAAAAGCTTGAATAATTGTACCCTTAACTCATTATGATTTGATTTAGACTGTACAAAGTGGATATCACGTGAAAATCGTATGTTATAACATCATCGATGCTTAAGAGTATTAAAAATACAATTTTGCCGGTCTTAACTATGTTCAATACTAATTAAATAATTAATACTTAATTAGTTACAATATTTGTTTTAAACTTCAAACGAGCTCAGATCGAGCTTATACTATTAATATTTATTTTTATTTAAAAACAAAATAATTAATTTAGAAAGTTTTATTTCATTTGTTTTTGGAAAACTAAAACATTTTTATAAAAATGCTATGATATTTTGAAAGTTTCATAAGTTTAACTTATTCTTTATATTTGAAAATAATATTATAATATTCAGTACACAAATGTATACCATTGAATAAAAATATGAACAAAAGTTCGTATTGTGTAGAGTTCCAATTCAGTTAGATTTTTTTAGTTATTTTTTAGTTTTTTAGAGTTTTTTTTTATGTATTCAATTTACATTTATCTTTTTATTCTTTTAGGTACATTTAGAACCCCAAGGAAAACTGCATCTTCGAATAGATCTAAAATGGAACTCAAAAGGTAAGAATATTATTACAAGATTATTATTTTGTACGTCAAAATAGTTATTTTTTTGTTTTGAAAACTCAAGGAATTGAGTTAATTTATTAATTTTTAATATAAATTCTATCAGATCTACCGGCTCGCCCTCTGGAATTCAAAGAACGACAAGGGTTATTAAATCGAAGGCGTGGAGCCATGAGAAGACGAGTACATCAAGTGAATGGACATAAATTTATGGCTACTTTTCTCAGGCAACCAACATTTTGTTCACATTGCAGAAATTTTATTTGGTAATCTAAAGTTTTTTAATTTTAATATTTATTGGTAGAAGTAGGAATTATTTTATATTAAACAATAATTACTACCGTAAATTACGTACTACATACTTGTACAAAATAAAAACATTATTTAGTTGGGTACCTTGTTGAACTACTATTATTAAATTGTACCACGTCAGTTAATAACACTAACGTAACTCTCTTTGAGCATATGTAATTCAATTTTTATTTTTAATTAAACGAGTATAGAGTTAAAAACAATTCGCATGAATTTAGCCTTTCAAATATAACGTAAATTTGTGTTAATAAGTGTTGTAGAAAACTTTTATATTTATTATGAATCATCGATTTTAATAATAATTAATAATAATTTTATTGGAAAGCTGAGATTTATTTTTTCTGTTTTTGTAAATAAAAAATAATTCATGGCTTAATATTATAATGAAAAGAAATATTCAAAATTTTGAAATATTTCGTTGGTAAAATGGTATAATTTTTTAGATGTTTATTAAATTTATAAAGTCATGTCGCCTGAAATTTGGGAAGTGTTATCTAACTAATGCACATTAGAGTACACGTCATTCTTGATTCATTATAATTATTAAACTTAAATTATTAAACTTAAGTTGTCCATGTATACCCATTTTATTTAATTAAAACATCATTGATTAACTATGCCTAATCATTTAATTGGATCGGTTCGTTAAAATACTGATTAATTTAAATTTTCCATTAAAAGACTTAACCCTAGTTTAATTTTAAATATATACTAAAGTTTAAAATTACTGATATATCAGTTTAACGTATTAAATTTACGAGTATAATATATATATATATATATATATATATACATAATTTTATATGATGTAAAAGTGTAAATTTAATTTATAGATTATTGGAACATTACTGTTTATTGCGTTTTAATCTAGAACAAAAAAATATGACTTAAAAATTATTTAATTATTTTGGTATTTTTCTCACAAATAATGTACAATTTTATAATGTAATAAAATACTACGTAATACTATAAAATAAAAACTATCAATAATACAAATAAATTCCTAGTTTTACTGAAATATATTTGACTATTTGATGTGTCATATTATTGTATTTACTCTTAAATCTTATAAATATTAATCACATCAATCGATTAATTTTATACTGTTAGTGGTGAATTTTTAAAGATAAAAAAAGAAAAATATAAAAACGCATCACGAATTTAATAACCAATTTAATTTTATACCAGACTACACTAGTAGCCTAAGTTATTTTATGTGCCGTCGTAACTATTGGACAAATCGAAAATCGAAATATTCAATAGATATTTTACTAAATGTATTTTTCGTCGTTCATTTCGATCTGAAAATATTTTCGCAATGAGTCTCATAAATTGATAGCATTTGGAGAACAATATTTTATTTGTAGTATTCGTACCACAAACGGGAACAAAGTGGGATCTGTTTAAACAGAAAATGCCTTGAATACGTTATTACCGGATGGTAGGGATTTTCATTCTATATACTCGCCAACTTAAATATGTTATGAAACGAGCGAATACATTTAGTAATAGTTATAAAGTTTTTAAGATTACTTTTACCATTTTATCACTCAGTGATTTTTTTCATCTTTCTTCATAAACAATTAATATATGTTTATAAAATACGAGTATATGAGTATATTTTAACGATCAGTTATCGTTGTTGTGCCATTACATTAGTCAACAATTTATTGAAGTATTTGAATTTCGGGCTTCGTCCATTATATTATGTAGTAGATATGTATGTAGTATTATGCAAAATACTTTTGTGAAACATGTACTTTTTATAGCTTGTACCATTGGCTTATAAATGAATACGTTTTACTGTTCAAATTAGTAGCGCCCACATACGTGGACGCAGTCACAAGACTTCGCTGTAATCGTTCGCATTCATCTTTATAAAAACAAGTTTTCAACAATTTAATGAAGTGTTATTTTCATAACATGGAGCGGTTTTCAAGAATAGAAATTCATTATTTCTATTGTTTAAAATCCGTGTTTATCAAGTTGAATGCAAACGATTATAGCGAAGTCTTGTTAATGCGTCCACGTAAATGCTACAAATTTTAACAGTTTGGCGAATCTGTATTTTTTTAAAATCAATGGTTGTATAAATAATTAGAATTTCAATATGCGTTAGTCATCACTGATTTGTTTGGTTTGTTCGTATGGTAGGTTCCTATTAAAAAAATCAAATACAGGTCAATAAACATTTTAAAATAACGAAATCAGCTGCCATCTCGCAAAAAGTTGTAGTTTAAATTTACCAAATTAATATTTAACACTTCACTTCTTTAAACTTCGTCGAAAATATAAAACTTTTATATGAATTATAAAACATTGTAACATCGTAGTTATGATATTATACAACTATACCGAAAAAAAATTATCATTATGTATTATTATATTTTCATTTTAGGTACTGTATTAATTATTTGTTATAACATTAATATAATTTTAATTAATTTAGAATCAATTTTAACCCGTATGTTAATTTATTCAAGAATTATACTATACAACTCAATTGACAATAACTAAAGTTCAATACATATTTATTTACTTTATTTTTTGTTACAACTAAAAACAGAGTTAAACTTATTAAGTATTTTAATCATATTAAAAATAAAATAAAATACAATTTTTATTAATAAACTAAATTGAATTTAAATGAATGTCAATAAGAGTGCCTTTTAAGGAATTCTTCTCAGGCAAAACAAGCAAATAAAAAATAAATTGTTATTGTATACATTTTTCAGATTGTTTTTTACCAATAAAAAAAATCTTATTATATTTGTTATTAATAAAAAACGTATCTTTATTTTAAAGGGGATTTGGCAAACAAGGATATCAATGTCAAGGTATGTAAATTTATAAAAAAAAAAAACATTTTATTTTTTATATTATTACATTTCTGAGAACGTATGAATACATTTTACTCTTTAAATATGCTAGTTGGTTTTGGTACCTATACTTAATTTTTGTTTAAGCCTTAAAGATAAAACTTTATTTAACAAATCATGGACCATTTTTAATAATAATATACCTGAAAAAACTGTAATTTACTTTGACGTTCTGAGCGATGGAAGGAAAAAACATTGATTTTATAACGTTGCTTTTTTTTTCTGGGAATAAACTTTCATGTTGAAAAGCTGCACCAAAAGTTTTTAATAAAATTTAATTAGATCAGATTTTGGACCCTGATATTATTTTTTAAAATTTACGAAAATCTAGAATAAGACTTAGAAATAATATTACATTTCTTATACATTTATACATGGTTTAATTGATAAGTGATATTATATATTGGCTTTAGATATAATGCAGTCTTAAGTAATTTATTAAGTGACAAGTATTACAATGCAAAATAATAATCATTTGATTATTCTAAGTCGATTTTTTTTACAAGCATTTACATTTTGAAATCACTCTTTATTTTTACATATCGTATTATGATATTTTTTTTTTCGTTTTTTACGTTTAGTTTTTTAAAACTTATTGATTATTATAAGTTACAGAATTTAAATTCTTCTCTTAGAATTGTTTTTTTAATAGAGTCATTTATTTTTTTATTTTATTACCGATGTAGATATACTCGTATAAGCATGTTACACAGGCAACAGCCATTCAACGAATATCAGTTATTTGTAAGCCGACCCTCGAACAATAAATTGTAATCTTAATCGTTCTATAGAATAATTATAGTTCATTAGGTATACTTTACCCCATGATTATAATTTACCAATTTACAATTACATATTGGCCAAATTAAAATTTAACTAAATCTATAGGTACAGGTACTTATATTATTATGATTAAATAAAAAAATAGATGTCCAGATACCGATTACGGGAAAACTACTGACTAGCACATAATTTAGTTTTTTTTTTTTTTATTATAAGTATAAAATATTCCGAAACATACGTGTGATTTCGTTCGAAAAATCGATACGTCATTTATATTTTGAAAATAAAGAATGGTAGAGTTGAGAATATGCACGTGTTATACTGTTATGGTAAAAGTTAATTATTTTAAAAATTATAAAACTTTAATATTTTTATTAGACATTGTCTACACGACATTCTACAGATCACCGTGTTTTTTCCCCATGACCTCTATATACATTTCCTGGACATTTCGAGCGTTCTATTTATAACTTAGAAATGTTTTAACGTTTTGATTTCGACCCATTGCACAATACATTATAATGACGTCGTGCACAAATGTTTTGTTGAACTACACGTAGAACAAATAATCGTTAGTAAAATATAAAAAAATTAAATTAAAATTAAAAATTATAAAATGGTTAATAATAATATCAAAATTGATATATAAATAAAAAAACAAATAGTTTATATCGAAATGGATTAATTATTTATATTAATTATTATTACACATTAATTAAATAATTAAATAAAAACTTAGCCTGGAATATTATTATATTTTTAAAATACAACCGATTTTGAATTAAGAATTCAACGAAGTTAATAAAATTGCAACTGAATAAAAAAAAAATAAAGAAAGGAATACATTGAAAAAAATGAGTAGTTTTACGTAGAAATAATTTATTTTAATAGGAAACATTATTTAAAATGAGTTCTTATTAAACATAGATATTCAATATATTCCTTTATTTTTTCATATTCAGTTTCAATTTTATTTTTTCATATTCAATCGTAATTGTATTAACTTTTTATATATCTGATAGTGAATTTTAAATTCGAATCCGGTCGTACTTTACATATATAATAATAATCCAGGCTTAGCCTTTATTTATTTATTTATTTGTACTCGTATGTATAAACTATTTGTTTATTTATTTATATATGAAATAGTCGTTGTTGATTTAATCTTAACGGCTTTTTTAAACTTATACTTGCGGTAACGCGATACATTTCAAAATAATCGATCAATTATCATAACCAGGGTTCGCATTTTATAATACCAAAAATACTAAAATATACGATATAATATGACAAAAAAAACCTTAAAATATGCTCTATAAATATACCCTAAAAACATCATAAGAAGCAAATGATAGCAAAATACTTGCGTCAATCGAAAAAATCTCATCGCTAAACTCGGACACAAAATACCTAAGTCTTGAATAGTTCAATGTTATATCTTTCGGCATATTACTTTAATTATTGAAACAGGAAAACAAATCATACACAATCGAGTAATGAACAAAGATGAAACGAAATCAAACGATACGGAAAACTGACTGACGCTGAAATATGTATGACAGTAAGGCCGTTTTCACACACACCGATAAAATCAGAACAGGTGCCGGTACCGGTTGTTCGCTTTTTTCACACATACCGGTAAAACCTAACCGATGCCTGTTTCATTTCACACATAACGAGGAAACAATGTTAAACATTTTTTATACTCATTTGGGTGAATTCGTGTTTTAGTTATTTTCTCTGTTGTTCTCAACAATGTGTGCTGCTTTTAACAAACGCCATCTGTTTGAGATACTGTACCTTCGAAGTAGGTACCGAAGAGACAACATTAAAAGACGATAATGGATTCATTCTATATTAAGTATAAGGTACTTGGAAGGAATCATATCATATCAATATAATTATTTTTAGGTTTCCCTCCTGTGCCAACCTGTGTGTACACGTTTTTATAAGAAAACATTGAGATCGATAGTTTGAAGATCAGTCTGGCATTCGAATTATCAAATTCAACGCCAACTGCGAATACCGGAATCGTCCACCGGACCGACAAATTTATCGGTCCGGTCTATGAGAGGCTGCGGTTCCGATTAGTGTGTGTGAAAACGGCCTAACTATAATATGGAAACTACATTATAGAACAATAATATAATAAATATAAATAAAACAGATAAGAAGGCATAAATGTATAAGTATATTGGATATCGCCGTCTTAAAAATAGATTATAACATGTCAAATATCATATTATTTATAAATTATCAATATGAAACGAAAATATAGGAATTCTTATGGATTCACATATCCTCATGGAATACTATCTTTCGTTCAATATAAATAAGACTGATGAAAAATACAAAATAAAGTATTAAATTATGTACATTAGTGAAAAATAGCACTAAAAATCTAAAATACTTCAAATATGCAAAAAAAATAGCAAAATAAAATCGCATATTTGGAGTCCCTGGTTCATAAAACTAATTTATAACCTACTTTGCTATTATTATCTATATCTAATAATAAGTAGCAAATACTATAAAATCCGAACCCTGATCATAACATTTCAAAGATGTAATCGGTTTCAGAGAAATCTCGTGAAATAATGTTTTCCAACGTCTTAACGTTCCCATTTATTAATAATCAAAAAATGTATCATAATAACCGTTTAATCTTATAAAAAATTGTAACTGGTATTATGTTTTTGTACGTTCAAAGATTATTCGTATGTAATAAAAATCAAACGAATTATTTTCAGTTTGCACATGCGTTGTTCACAAACGTTGTCATATGGAAGTAGTTACCATTTGTCCAGGATTCGGGAAGAAAGAAGTGCGTTTTATTTTCTCAATATTTTTATGATTCTCAAAATTAGTACGTATGATAAAGTGATTTTAATATATTTTCTATTTCAGTTAAGTCAAGGAAATCAATCTCAACGATTTAGTGTCAATGTTCCTCATAGATTCAAACCACACACGTATAAAATATTTACATTCTGTGATCATTGTGGATCATTACTTTATGGAATCTATAGACAAGGCTTACAATGTGAAGGTATTTATTTCATCACACTAAATGTATTTATTTTTAACTTTTTTATACAAATAAAATTAATATTTAAAAAAAAATTTCTTTCAGTTTGTACATTAAATGTACATAGGAGATGTGTAAAAAATGTTGCTAATAACTGTGGCATAAATCCTCGAGAAATGGCCGATACATTACGTAGCTGTGGTTTAAATCTTAGCAAAAATGTTGTAAGATATATTATAATTTCATACTAATTATTAATTTTAATTACTTATGATGTTGCTTCCTTTTAAACAGGAGTATTATATGTTAATGATTGAAAAAAAGGTATTATTATTATTTACGAACCTATGTGTTTTTATAGGATTGGCCTGGTGGTAACGGTAGTTTTAGCATCAGCAGTGTTACGGGAAGTGGAAGTAGTTTGCACCGTGATCTCAGTCAACAATCTACTAATATATTGAACATAATGTCAGATAAGCATTCCCCGCACGACAAACGAAGCACTGACAAAATGTCTAAAAGTAATAATTTTAAAAAACTTACAACTGCTAAACTTGAATTACGAATAACATATATTATTAATTCGATATTATAATAATACGCTTTTCTTTTTTTTTTTTTTGCTAGTGAATCAAAGTATGAGCTGCTTCAATTTACAGAGTAATCGAAAAATGAGTGTGACCGATTTTACTTTCATAAAAGTATTAGGCAAAGGCAGTTTTGGCAAAGTGATGTTGGCTGAAAAACGAGGCACCGATGAGGTTTACGCTGTCAAAGTATGATACGCATTTTTACGATAGAATTAATGAATTCGATTTTAACAGTATGACAATCTGCCTGTGTTTTAGGTGTTGAAAAAGGATGTAATCGTGCAGGACGATGATGTAGATTGTACCATGACGGAAAAACGTATTTTGGCTCTTGCCGCTAAACATCCATTTTTAACCGCTTTGCACTCGTGCTTTCAAACTAAAGTACGTTACTATTAATTCATTGTAGCTGCTGATTTACTGGGACATATGTTTTTTTACGCGTCGCGAACGATTACCGTGTAGGTGTGCATTAGACACGTACGGGGACACGTTAATGTACATTACAAAAACACGTGTTCTCTCCGTAACGGAAATCGTTCGTACGGCGTGGCGTGCAAAATAGACCCGTCGACCAGTAACACGGCATTGACATATTATTAGTGCGTTCACTATTGGCTATTTTTAGGACCGGCTGTTTTTTGTGATGGAGTATGTGAATGGTGGTGATCTGATGTTCCAAATACAAAGGGCTAGAAAGTTCGATGAGCTTCGCGCCAGATTTTACGCTGCTGAAGTTACGCTTGCACTGCAGTTCCTTCATCGACATGGTGTAGTCTATAGGTGAATTTTTATTTCTATTGTTGTTTGTAATTTCCCGTACGAAGAATTGAGATGAGAATCTGGTTACAGTTACTTATACACGTGAGTGTAAAATTCTGAATTCTTTTAATGCGAATCAAAAAATTTACCGACCGGAATAATGTTTTAATCGGAAATGTAAATCGTTTAAAAATCTCTAGTCAAGCCGAAGGATATTTTTGAATGTATCCATCATAAAAAGAAAGAACTTAAATGCTTTTGCGTTGATTATATTGTACTTTTTAATAATATTGACTAATAATAAACTTAATGTTCTTATTATTTTATTTTTTTATTCTGATATCAGTAACATATAAAATGTAATATATTATATTACATAATTTATATGATGAAGAATATTATCTGCATCGTAAAATTGAGTAATATTGATAAGTTTCCTTGGGTTTTTGGATTTTTTAAATTAACTTTCTATGATAAAAGGAAAAAAACATTTACCTACTTGTAAAAGTATATTTTATAGGTTGTTAGAAAATAAGACTAGAGTAAACACATGTATTCCATTGTAATAATTGTACTATGTTCCAACCGGAAGCAGTACATTTTGACAAAAATTAATATTGATATTTTTCTATTTGCACTACTCGTCAAAATACGAAGTAAAAAAAAACAAAAATCTTAGGTCTAATAAACGATTTTATTATTAAAATTATACGAATCGTCAGAGTTATTCAGATTTTTGGCAAATATAAATAAATAAATAAATCATACCAACATTTTTGCATATTTTTTATTTTAATTGCAATGAATATTATTTATCTTACTTAATAATTAAGTTTTTATGTTTGGTTTTCTGACTATTTATTTAATTTGATAGTATAAACTAAATATATGTTTATAACTTACTTGTAATTTTAGGGATTTAAAATTAGACAACATATTATTAGACAATGAAGGGCATTGTAAGCTAGCTGATTTTGGAATGTGTAAGGAAGGCATAACTGACGGAGTAACTACTACTACATTTTGTGGAACTCCTGATTACATAGCTCCTGAAGTAAGTTATGCTTATTTAGTATTTAAAACTTAAAAATTATGATGATCATATTGGTATACTTTGTGAATTGAATTAATTATATTATTATAATTCTTTTTTTATACTATTTGTATTTTTAATTCTTATATATAATTAATTTAGATTCTTCAAGAACTAAACTATGGTGCAAGTGTTGACTGGTGGGCTCTTGGTGTACTGATGTATGAAATGATGGCTGGCCAACCACCATTTGAAGCTGATAACGAAGACGATCTCTTCGAATCTATTTTGCATGACGATGTACTGTATCCAGTTTGGCTCAGTAAAGAAGCTGTTTCCATACTGAAAGGGGTATATAATTTTTTTTTTTATATAAATTCATTCTTCATTTATAGCAAAAATATAATTTTGAAATTATGAAAAACAAAGAATATTTATAAGTATTGTTACTTTTTATTATACTATTTAGTTTTTTTTTTTCTTTAAACTAATTGTATTCTTAACAAAGTATTTTAATCATTGATGTACTTACAAAATAAATTAACAATCCATAATATTTTTATGTCTTATTTATTTTAAAAGTCTAATTTTTATAATGAATAATTGAAAATAATTTCAAAATAATATTGAAGATATACAATATTATGGATTAAATATGAAAAAAAAACCTCAGTAATATTATAGTATCAACTAAGAATCTTCAATATAAATCGCAGAAAATTTGTTTTTTTTTTTCTACATTTTATCAGAGTTTAATGTTCAATCATTTAATACCATTTTGTCTTTATTGTTTTTAACATAAAGGTATAACCCAAAATGTATATACAGCTTTTATATTGATACTTATGGATTTTATGTTAAAACAATAAAATTTAAATACTAATCTTGTTTTTATTATTTGTTTAGTTTATGACGAAAAATCGTAACAAGCGCCTTGGTTGTGTGTTAGCTGATGGCCTAGAAGCTGCTATAAGAGTCCATCCATTTTTTCGAGATTTGGATTGGGACGCACTAGAAAATCGACGTGTTAAACCACCTTTCAAGCCTAAGATTGTAATATTTATTTTTACTTTTGAAAAAGTACCCTTAAACCTCTGTAAATATGTTCTAGCTAAATTGTTTGTATTAATAAAAATATAGCATTTTAATGTTTTTTTAATATAAAATAAAGCATCTCATTAAGTATATATGTTCAAAACAATGATTACAATTATAATATATGTATATTGATAAGTAAATTTTTCTGAAAATTTAATTCTGTTTAATTACTTTGTATTGTTGAGTATAAATTTTTTATTATAAAAATGTATTACATTTTATAACACATCAAACGATAAACTATATAGCATTTTCTTTCGATAGGTCTAGCATAATTTTTTAATCAAAATTTTTTTTACTATTAATCATTTTTTGATTGATTAGATAATTTTTCGTAGTATAGTTATTAATTATTCATTGACAGAGGTTTCAGTATAATGTAACAAAAATTGACTATAATTTTTTTCTAATTATTCTTGTTTTTTTTCTTAGAAAAACAAAAAAGATGCTATGAACTTTGATGCCGAATTCACTAAAGAAGAACCAATTTTAACCCCTGTACCCGTTGATGTAACTCTGTCTATAAACCAAGAAGAATTTCAAGGATTTTCGTTTGTAAATTTCGATTTTAACCCCAGCAAATTTACCTCTTCTCAGACTACAGATTCTTCTAAATAATAATTCTACAATACAATATATTTAATTAAGGTGAGTTAAATAATATTAATCATTACTAAATAATTATACTATTAGTTATTATTATTACTTACAATTTAATCTAAGGAATATTTATAATCAATCTTAATTATTTACTAAAACAAAAACATATATTTGAAATTGTATTTATGTTATGTATTTTTATTTTATTATTATTATTATTTTTGATCGTATATTATATTTTAATTAAATGATCATGATCATAACTTGTAAGCAGGAAAGCACCTTAAATTACCTTCACATTCACATTGACAAAACAAATTTTAGTTTAATATTTTATTTTAAAATGCAATTAGTAATTTTAAATATTGTTGAGTGTTACTTCAAAACGATTTATTTTAATATATTAACTTTATTTATCTAAAAATTGTTGATAAAATTTAAAATAATTTTCGTACAAAGTTTAGTGCTGCAAATATTATAGGAATAATTTGATTATAAATCATTCTCTATGACGTCTATGAAATATTAATATAAACTACCTACTTAAGTATCCTAATACGTTTTTTTATTGTTTTTTTTTTTTTTACTCATAGAGCATCAATTCGAAGAGAATTCAAACGAACAGTCAACAGTAAACAAGAATGATTATATAATATGTGATATGCACGAGTCTCTTATGGTATTTACTCACGAGTTGCCTCTAATTATTTATATATTATAACATTAGTTAACTTATAATGTGATCTTTCACTCTAATAAAAATTGTTCTAGTCCTATTTTAATTTAATGAAATAATTGATCCGTTTGGATTATAGTTTTTAGTTAAATCTAAAGCAATTAAACTAACTGAGCTCGAAACAATTAGAATACGATATCGTAATTTAAACAGTATTATTTTTTGCATTTTATTATAAACTAACTAGTCACTATCGATCGTAGAACATGGTATAAAACCACTAAATTATGAATATTTATGTGCCTGATTGTGCCTGCGTACGTGTATCGGTCTGTCTGCGTCTGTGTGTGCAATTGCGAATCACAATACTTATAATTATTGTTTATTATAAGCTAGTTATTTATTTTATTTATTTATTAATTTTTTGTTATTAAAAAGCTATAAAATCTAAAATTTTCTGTTTACCGATACAAAATCAAATCCTATATAATAACACTTCGTACATGACATTCTACTCTATGTTTACGAATTTTATTCTAGAATTATTATATAATGTTAGTAAACAAAAACATAATATTGATATAAATATTGTTGTCTAAAATGTATAATATTTTATAACACCACTAAATCTTTGGATGCGTATATTTTGAATCTCTTAAATACTTTTTCTTATAAATTAAATATATTTCAAAAATTTCGAATATTTTGACATCTGCTCATCTACAATGAGTTATTTATAAATGTAATACAAATTATATTATTTAAAATTAGTCTCATGTTACCTGTATTAAACAACAATCATTTTTAGATATAAATTATATAACCACGATTAAAATATATTATAAATTTTATTGTACATTAGTTTCGTTAAAGATTAACAATTTTATTTTTTAAAATATTTCTCTGAAATGCCCTTAGACAGCAATGTGTGTTCATTCAAGTGGCCTTTAAATGTTTAATTTTTAGTTAGTAGGCAATACATGATTGAAGATATGGACCATTTAGTAAATAATTGTTGAACAAAAATGTGCTGATCGTTTATTGGAACATAAGTAAAATTATTTTAAAGATAATTATAATTGGGCGGTTATTGTTGTAGTCTATATCATATATATATATATATATGTATATATATATACTTTATTATATAAAAAATTTATTTTCGTCTATTATTAATTATGAATTTTATGAACAGGGCTCCATATTGCAGTGACGTGTACAATGTCAAATATTTTTATTCGATAACTCAAAACATAAAAAGCCCAACTTGACTTATTAAAATTGGTTTTTAATAACACATATTATAGAAATGTAGAATCATAGAATATTACATTTTAAATTTCTCGCTTAATATCTCTTCACTATTAATATTCAGATCGTAATTATTCACATTTATATGTTATCTGTTTATTTCGTAAAAACATTACAGTAAAATAGTTTATTATTGTACAAAAACTATCTATTCAAAATAGTATTAATAATTTAAAGTTGAACTCCGAAAAACTAGTGTAAATGGTTATAATATTTTTTAATATTATCAAAAATATATATTTTTGTTCTATTTGTATAAAAAGAAACATTGCCCATCATGTTTAAGTATAACGCTTGATTACCCATAAGGGAGGGAACGTCGGTGATAAAATATTATCCCTATTGTATTTTTGATATTGGTCTATAAATGTGGTTTCTTATCGATTTATGTTTCTTTCTGTTTCCGAGAAAAAAATATACTTATGCATCAGTAATGAAAATAAGTGGTTTATTTTATCAGTCAAATATGATTTTAGTCTGGCGTAAAAACTTAATTTTATAACGAGAGAATATCACATGTGCTCGTACCTCTTCTTTACATTTTTTTCTTTTTTCGATATTATGTATCGAATTCGTGTTGAAATCGGATGCATTATCTTGTACAAATTTTTAAAACTGACATTTCGCACTTGAATAATACAAAATATCATCCAGTTTTCAATTATTCAACATCTATATAAATTCGAAAAATACAGAATGCATTATCGACTAGTGAAATATTATGTATAGAATATAATATTAGGTCTTTGAATCATCAACACTGACTACTTTACTAGTTCGTTATATGTTCTACCATACAATTATTTTGTAGTTAAACTCATATAACAAGTTTGCTTACTTCATTATTAAAATTAAAAAAAGAAAAGAAAAAAAAGAAAAAAAAAGTAGCACTAACTCAAAACTATATGCATAATGTAATACATTACTATATGTGTTTATTTTTTAATTTATTTGATAAAATATCTAAGTTAATTAAAGATGAAAAAAATTAGAAGTAAATTATTACATAATTAATATGCTTAGATAATTGTTATAGACACATAGTACAGTTATGAAATTATTTCATCGACCTTTATAAGTACACATCACTTGATTTACGTACAAAACATTCTCATAGACTCATGGTCGGCTGTGGGAAAAAATCGTTTAGATATTTATTTCGGTTATTGATTTCCAAAAGGCTAAAATTATTTATTTTCCTTAAAAAAAAAAAAAAAAAAAAAAAAAATTAAAAAAACACTGAATTGAAAATATATATATTGTATTCTCTGCCCTCGTAGGCATTACTCAATAAATAAATAAATAGGTAAATAAACAACAAAATAAATACAAATCACGGCATGCCGAAATCATTAATCTATCCATTCTGAATACTTTGAATACACTTGCTAAACTTAATGGAAACTACATTTTCACAATGTTAAGTAAAATCACTGATGTGCAGCCCGCCCACCAACATATGATAATTTCTTTATATTACTATTATAAAAGGAAAATTTAATTGAAGTCTACTCTATGTTCATTATTTAAAATCATAATTAAAATATGCAAGTTAAATAATACCAATCTACGAGATAATAGATATTATTTTGAAATTCAAATAAGCCCATAAAAGCAATTTAAGATGTAATTTATTGACATTTAAACATATATAATATACATAAACATAAACAATTATTATGTAGGTTTCTCTCTTTATTCATGGTAATTAGGCTTAAGTATTTAAGAATTTTACAAAGTAATTAATTGTTCATTTTAAATTTAAGATACCCTAGCGCTAAATATATAAAGAAAAAAATATTAAAATAAATAAAATTTATAATAAGTATTATAAAAGCTATTAGTGATAATAAATTAGGATTAATTATAATATACCGTTAGTGATTAATAATATATTTATATTTATATATATATATATATAGTTTAATTTATAATTTATTTGTGTATATATATATATATATATATATATATACCAAGTTTATATGTATATCATATTATGCACAATTTTCATTTTTAAAATGAAATAGTATTAGGAAAACATAAAAGCATCAACTTTTAATATTACACAATTATCATTAGGTTAAATGATTACCACTTATAAAGAACATAATTTATGCACTTAAATTTATTAATTAATTATAATAACGTTCATTATACTGTGGGCTTGTCAATTTTTTTTTCTTAATTGTTACTCTTCCTATGGGTGCTGAAAAACTCCCATTATATAATTATAATTATTTTTTTTTTCATTAAATGTTTAAAGCTAAATAAAGTTAACTCATTTTTCAAAAGTGGTTTAATTTTATTACAGTATAAACCTATTATAATATAGTTTTTAATCATTAGTTTATGTGTAAATTATGTGTTTAATTATAATTTATATTTAAAACTAGTGTTACATTGATCGAAATCATATATTATAGCTATTGTTGTTCTGTTTAACAAACTTAGAGCGTATTTTAAAAATCTCATCCCAAATGTTAATTATTGCTCTAAATTTACAATGAATCTTAATATATAAGCATAACAACCTAGTCATCACGTATTTTCATCACCAAGGTACTTTTTATTAATTATTAATATATTATTATTATTATTAAAATTATTATTATTGTTAAGTATTATTATAATTATTGATATAATTAATATTATTAAAATACCTCTATTTATGTTCTATTTATGTTGTGTATGTAGTCTTTATTTTGTTTTTTCTGGTTATTATATTCAGTATTATTAATTAAGTTTTTGTAATATTATATTCTTATGTTTTTAATTTTTTATAATTTATAGCCGTTTTAAAATTTTATTGTTTCATAACTATATAATACTATTGTTTTAATGTTGTTGTATTTTGTTTTGAGTCATTACAGTTATGTTATAATTTTGTGCCAAAAATGTGTGTTTAACTTAATTGTATTCAATCGGTATTTAATTTAATAATTTGTGTTTATTCCTGTAATACCTCGCGCTTTTTAAAGTACTAATGAATTATAATTCATTTTTTTTATTTTTTTTAATAAAAACAAATTATATTTCTTTAATATATCTTAAATAATATCATGCTATAGCTTACAGAAAATTATAATCTTAATAATTATTTTTAACATATTTTTGTTGGTTTTTTTTCTAATAAAATATCAAATGAGCCTTACAATGTTGGTGTTATATTATAACATGATTTAAATTTTATGATTCCTAAAAAAAAAAAAAATTGTACTAAAGCAATGGTATGATTAATGAATGTTGGTATTTTCATTACATCGTCTAGTTAGTGATACTACAAAACTAGACATGGCAGTAAAATGATTTATTATTATATTGTCTTGACATTTCAACTCTCGATATTGTATTGTATTGATATTGTAAGTCAATAATAATTGATAATCTTGTCTAGAATAATATAGTTTTTTTTTCAGGGTTAGTTTTATATGCATATAAAACATATAAAAAATGAAGACAAAATATATTTTGTTTTTGAAATTCACTCTTAAATAATTAAAAATACTTCCTGTCAGATATTAAGTTTTTTATACTTATTATAAATATATAGTAGGTAGTTAAAAATTATACAGTGTTATATATATAAAAAAAAATTTTTGTTTGCAATTTTATTTTCTTATTCTTTCAAAAGTGTACTATTTAAATATAAAACAATAAAATATTGTTTAAGACAAAGAATTTAATATATTATTACATTCATAATCTTAAGAAAAAATTTAAATTTAACCAAGTTAATAATACGGAATATTTGAATATATAACAAATGAAAGTATTTTTCTATTTCTTTTG